GAAAAAATTCTGTCACATACCATAATCCATACTTTGATTGTTGATTTTCAGTAATTTGAAAAATAATTTAATCTTTGAAGCTGACGTATTTTTTATTTATTTATTTATTTTTATTGAAATACCTTCTTCTGTTTTCACATCCTCATTGTATTTTCTTCAGAAATATTGCACGTTCAAGATTAGATTTGAGGGATAATATTTTCCATGGCTACAGTTATATGTACAGTTGTATATTCAGATAAGAATTCATTTGGATATTGCAAGGCCAGAATTCACCTTCATTGTAAGGTCTGCAAAATTTGGGCTAGACTTGTGGTTTTAGTGTAAATGGGCAGTAACTGTTCAGAGTAACAGAGTCACGAAGTATGAAACTGCCATAAACACTGAAAGTCAATTTCAAATCTAAAACAACTTGAATGACATCAATAATTGTATGCTGGATTTATGTCCATGAAAACAGAGGAAACATCTCTTCTTTGGTATCCTGACTGGCACTTGGAAATGAACTTTAGTACTAAGAAAACTGACAAATTTGGAAAACTTATAATAAGTTCTGTAATTTCTCACTGTGTGGGGGATGGTGGGAGAGACTTTTTCTTTAAAAATTATTTTTGAAAAAACTTTCTCCTGAATAAATCTTTATGTTTAGAATGAAAAATGCACATAAAAGCCATTTGACTGCCAGATGTTGAAAAATGAGTGATTTAGTTTTTAATGAAAACCAAAGCTTTCAAACAAACAAACAAACAAAAGCTCTTTTCCTGTAAAGACTGAGGAAATGAAAAATTTCCTGATACATTGCACTTCTTATAGGTACCATCCTTTCCAGCCGTCTGCTGCTACTCACCCCTAAAAAGCACCATGGCTGACTTCAGGTATCATCATGAAACAGAGGCTATTAGATTAATAAGGTAATTAATCTCATCACTAGACTCTTGTTAATCTGCAACACTAACCTCATGTTTTGCTTCCGAAGTATGCTTTACCCTGGGCAGTAGGCTGTAACCTCTGCAGTTAAGACAAATTGCTACATTATTAATTGCTACATTATAATTAGACACTGTGCAAGAACAATTAAAGGGAAAGTTTCAAATCTTTCATTGTTAGAAAAGTAACATAAATTTGGCTCAGAAAATATGACTATCTATGCCAGTCTGTGTTTAATTTGGGATGACATCTTCCATACAAGGTGTACCAAGTTAGTTTGCTAATCAGTGAAAAAGCTATCAGCATGTTTTCAAAAAATACACATTATACACATTAATTATGTGTAGAGAAGAGAATTGTGAAGCAGCAAAATTTTCATTTACTACTACAGACACGAGTCATTTGAAAAGAAACTCTTTCTGGCATTAGTAGTAGATACTCTAATAGAGATTGCATCACCTGTTTTTCCAGCTAAAAAAAATGTAGAGGCAGGCATTGTGCCTTCATCCTCTGCCACTCTTTAAATCTCCTTCCAACTTTTTTCATAAAAGCTATGCATTTGGCATATACTTTAAAATGAGTTACTCTATTTCACTGAAAAGTAACAGTCTGTCTACCCAGCAGAGGGAGAAATTTGTCTTTAGAGATGAATTTTGAACAAGTTGTAATGGAGAATTATATGGATTAAGCCCAAAGATGAGGTTAGAGAGCAAGAAAGGGCCTGGAGGGGCAGCCGCTGGGTGCTGACAGGGTCAAGATGACTCTAGTTCAAATGACTGAAAACGTGCACGCTCACTCTGCAAGTACATGCAGGGGCAATATTTGTTAAAGAACCTGGGCTGGTAAACATGTATGTAGAACAATTTTTTTTTTTTTGGCCCCCACCCCAATAAAATGCACTCTCACTAAAGTAATACAGTAGCATAGATAAGATGAAATGGTTTTAGTGCATAAGCTGTATATGTGAATGGCTTAAAATGGTTGTATAGACTTGGTTTATACTCATTTTGGCCTCAGTAAGACTGCTACTTTTCTCTTGCTAGTTTCATCCAATTATGTGAATCTTTCAGATCTCACACGATGAGCTTTTCTCTTTGTCACAATTCCTTTTTTTTTTATCACTAACAACTATATGGATACTTTTTCTATCTTTCAGTGACGGTCCTTTTAATGCCCTCAGGTAATGACTGGTGTAAGCAGAGCAGTAATGTGAATCAAACATAAATGTCTCCAGTCCTGTAAAGTGTGTATTCCGGGAGGAAAATGTTATTAAGGAAATTGGAACACATAAATTATTATTTTGTATTCAATTATGACTAAAAATACTATTTCTATACAATTATATTGAATGTTTAATATACAATATAGGGTATATAATATATTCTTTATATAAATTAACTAGATATATACTTAAAGGTAATGGAAATGGCTATATTAATACTTAGTATCTGAATTGGACAGTTTGTGTTATCTTTGCAGCATTTTTGGGTAATACATTCCATGTAAGGCTCCGGTTCCCTTATTTGTTGGTAATATACTTGCTCTGAATTTTGCTCTGAACTTACTACTCTGAATTTTAGAAGCTGGAAAACATCAGAAATCCCAGAATGAAACATGTCTGTATAACCTTTCCGTTGCCTGGTGTCTGTAGTACAGTGATGCAGAATGGGATTTGGCAGAGCACAAGCACCTTTGTTGTTCAGCTGAGCAAGTCACTTGGCTGCTCAGAGGAACCCACTTGAACTTTCTCCTTCTTTGATAGAAAGAAAGCTATTCCCTCAGAAAAGGTCCTTCTTTGCCGTGAATGGAGAGTGCAGAGTAGATGAAATAGTGTTTTACTGCATGCTATCTGAACCTTTTATCCACAATGAAGTGGGTTATTTTATCTTTGGTTTCTCTCTGATGCTTGTTACCATAGTCTCTGTGCAGCCTACAAACACAGATGAGCTTGCTTCAGCTCCCTGACACCGTATTTTGTAAACTCCATGAATATTTAGTCAGTATTTATAGAAGCTACCTCTAAACTGACTGTTTCGTTACCTGCGTACTTCACCTGAGGTGCTCAGGACATGTCTTAGAAGCTAACAACTGCTTGCGGCTTCTGCTGGCTTCAGCTGTACAGACTTGTCAGCATCTATGAAATCAGACCCTGGCTGCCTCAGGCTGGGGACCTGGAAAACAGGGAATATATTATTAGTGGTCCAGTGTGGTTGTTTTCTTAGTATAAAACGAAAATCCACAAAGTTGCAGTCTGGAATCAACTTCCACCGCAGTCTGCACTAATCCTGACTTAACTAAGTTTATAGCTATCTGTTTAAATTCTTATTGTTAACCTCATCCTTTGAAATAATGCATGCGGTTCTTTCTTTTTTATATACATGAGCTGCACAGTGAAAATAGTAGGGCAATCCCTTCCAAGGGACAGGGTGTGCCAGTCATGTTGAATTCCTTGCATATGTGCCCTAATAAATGTCAGTGTGTCAGTCTCCTCATGGGTAACACCAAGAACACTCCCAGAAAACTGCACGGAACTTCTGTGATTATCACCTATTTGCTTAAACTGTGCAAACAGAAATCAACAAACATATTTTTTAAATTATTTTCTCTGCACTAAACCAATGCAAAGAGTCATAACATTTGCATTTTCTCTTAGAGGATTAATTAGATTGCTGTAGGATATATCACTTCCATAGGAAAATGCACTCAACTGTAAGAGGTTATAAACGCTTGATTATAAATGAAACTTTTCTCATGGGACACATCTGATAGATACAGTACTTCAACTTTCATGTCCTTCCTCCTTTTTCTTTTTCACCATCATGAAGGAAAAAAAAAAAAGAAAAAGAAAAAAAAAAAAAAAAAAAAAAAAAAAAAAAGCCCTGGGAGATAGAGTCTGTTTTCCAGCAAGCCTATTGTTCAGGTGCCTATGGTTCTTACTTTGGAGACCAAGACTGCTGGGGAGTATAATGCAGAAACATAACCCACCTCACCCCTCTCTTACCATAGAGAGTTCCAGAAGCTTGCAAGGTGTGGTGCAAGCCCATAGGAATGCCGGGACCTGCCTATACTCAGTCCTGTGTTAAGTTCAGTAAATCCAGGAAGCAAGGAGAGCAATGTGAATGCACTTCGAGGTGCATTTCCAAGGTAATACTAAACCTGATCTCAAGGGACAGGATTGGCTCCTGCAGAGAGCATCTGCTTCCATGTCCTTTTTCCTTTGAATATTCATGATGTGATTCATTACCTGATTCTTAGTACTTTGGGGCTTTTAGGGGGGTGTACTTCCTTGAATGCACACCTGGGAACATGCTGGGTCCTGAATTGTTCTGTGGCGGGGGCAGCACACCCACCCAAGCACCAGGAATGGTACAGAAAAGAACTGTAGTGGCTCTGTGCAAGCCAGACAAGGTCAAGGAGAATTTTTGGTAAACTAGAGTTAATAAAGACTATTTGTTTCCTGGAAAAGACATGGGTGCTTCTTTGCACCACGTTCTCTCCAAGTAGCCATACTCCATGCACACAGGGCATGCTGCACCCCTACCTCTTTGATCAGTAGATCATTCTGTAGGTGTGGCTACATAATCCAAATTTAGGTACCTAGTTTAGGTGGTGCTACAAATCACCATCCCACATTTTTCTGCAGGCTGTTATGGACAATCTGGGCTCTTGAACAAAGGTGCTGTTAATCAAGCAAACTAGTTGAGAACAGATGCTGTATGTGTTCTTTGGTATCTAGAGGAACGGAGATCAAATCACAGTGTTGTCCTCCTATTCTATTACCAAGAAAATTACTTCAGAAATAATTGCCTGAAAGTTAATGTTGGAACAAAATGAAACGTTGAAACAAAGCTTGACCATTTCAGCTCACTGTTCTCCCTGCTTGAGCTTTTGTTCAGTTCAAAGTAAACAGAAGGACAATTATTTCAGAGCTACCAAAGTACATGACAGGGTCGGGGACAACAGAGAAGAATCTTCTGTCAGCATCTGCTAACAAGGAAGGAAAGTGAGCAGAGGCATCAAACAACAGCAAGTGCCCAACATGCAGTACCTCAGGATATTTTTATTAGAGAACAAATAAATGATGAAGCTGAAGTAGCTGTGGGACTGCAACATCTCTGGAAATTTACATAAATTAAAGCTTTCACAAATATTCTCACAGGCAAACGCTACCCTGGCTGCAGGCAGCAATGCTAAGGGAAAGAGCTTGAGAGAAGAAAAAATCATGGTCAGTGCTTTCCTTTTTTTTTGAAGAGTTCTCTATAAGTTTGTATCCTCTGTAAGAGTGAAGCACTAGAGTAACCTCTTGGAGGGCCTAAATGAGCTCACGTTCTGAGGATTTTTAACAGCTGGGGAAGTGCTGTGGTAATGACAGCCATGGGTTGGGATGCAGCAAGAGCCATGGTGGAGCTGAAGAGCAGCCATACAAATAACAAAAGCTGCCTTGTGCTTCTTAGATTCGCTAAGGAGGCTAGCCTACATTTGGACTGCTTTCCTGGACTTGTGAGGTTAGTAATCTTTCTGGCTCCTAGCTCTTTATGCAGATTTTTTAAATTATTTTTTACTGATTTATTGTTTAATAGCATTTCTTTGTCCTTTTATTAAAGTCCTGTTTATTCAAAGCTCTTTGTCCTGTGAAGGGACTCCTCATAGCCTCGTGTCTTTATTTCCTAGGTTTCTGAAAGGGTGGCTTAAATCACGGGTAATTCTAACTTTCAAGAAGAAAGTGGTAGAACTTGTAATGACTTATTTAAGGCATTAATTACCATAATCAGGTTGTCATTGCTACTGTCTAGGCAGCCATGAACTTCAAACTCATCTTTATCTTTCATAAAAAGATCTAAACCTGAGTGACTACGTGAGCAGTGTGACACCTCCCATGCTGAACTATTATTCTACATTTTCAGAAACTCTTACTGTATTGTACTTGAATAGAATTTTTCTCCCTTTGCACTTATTCTTAGAGAAGATCTGTGCAGTTGCAGCATATAGCATTAGGATGAGCTGTATATGACTCTGCAGTATTTTCCCCTGTGTTTTTAAGTGCTTTCCTGACTGTGTGGTTTTGTGGCTGGATCCAGCTACGCTGACATCGGTGTAAAGGTTTTATGGCTGGTGGGAACTAGATCTTATCCTACAGTCTGGAAACCAGTTAGTCAAATGTTCATGAAAAATTCAGGGGTATTTTGAAATAAATGCATAATGCCTACTAAATTGACCCGTAGCTGAACTAATTTGACAGGGAAATAAATTTATCTTTAATAGAATGGTTAAATAATTCTTTTGAAATACTAGTTCATGGCTTTTTATGGGGATTTTTTGCTATCACACCTCTACAAGCTTTCCTGGTTCACAGGATCATTATTTATACAAGTAGGTCCAGACCACTATGGGTGAGTTTGATGGTAAATGCACCTCACTTGCATATCCAACTGGAAAGCTGCAGAAGCCTGTTGGGAAGGTGGGAATGAAGTTTTGAAATAAGAAAGCAATGTGGGGTGTAGTAGTAATGGTGGTCAAGATTAAAACTGATGTAAATGAACAGTGTATTTAGTGAACACTCCTTGGAGCATATGTGTGAAGATAACAAAAGGCAGCACTGGGAATGACTGTTCATCTCCTCATTTGTGACCTGGTAGGAGGTGCACAGGGCTTATTCCTCCCACCCTAACAGTGTTGATGGAGGGCAATGGGAATTCCTGCAGGATAAAAGCCAATTTAGCTCAAGATCATGGAAGGGGGTTCTTACATCATGTTAATCTGGTCGTATGAATGTGTCTGCCTGGATATGCTTCTTGCAGCAGTTTACTTCCACTCTATGTTCCACAGTAGCATCAGTATAAGGGGAGATAAGTATCTGAAAGTAAGCATCTGTGAGTGTGCTTCAGATCTCAAGAACATGCATTTTCTGTTCCAGGAATAGCTAGATCTAGAATTACATGAGAGTAAGAGAGAAAGCTCACTGCCTGCAGGAAAAGTTTCTGTTCTTGCAATGCTGTGTTCATCTGGGGAGGAAAAAGGCATCTTCTAAAATTGCAAGTGGGAGTACCAGGAGCCCAATGATGTGGGAATCTAGTGTGAGCTGTAGATGTACAGGCTTTAAGGAATGATGAGGCTTTATGAACAGTGAAGTGAGTTGGCAGTAGTGGGAACCAGGCTGACAGGAGATGGGTGGTTATCATGTCAGAGGGGAATGGCACAGGGATGAATAAGAGCACCAAGAGCCAATATGAAGAGGAGCGGGTGGTAAAGTAAACCATATGCAGACTGGAACATACACATTTCATAAAGAAATGGTGGAGGAGTACACAGGTGGGTTGAAGTTACAATGACAGAATGGCACAGGAATAAGGGGTTTCTCCTAACAGGCCCTTCATGGCCAAGGAGCACTAACAGGAGAATGTTACTGGCATTCTCTCAGTTTGATCTAAATGCCATCTTTCCTAGCAAAACACTTCTTTCCAAACAGGTTTTCTTCTCTTGGAAGGTAATTGGAGGGGACTACATCCTTGCAGAGTACTCCTGGCACCTGACTCTACTGGGCTCAGAAGCTGTCAGCCCAGCCACTTGAGCTATATTTCATCCAGCTCTAAGCATCCAGATGCTACAATGATAAGTGACATGCCTTATTAAGCTGATTAGAAGGTGGATCATTAGAAGGGGATGGGAGAGGTGTGATTTACCAGCAAGAGGCAGATGTGTAGTAGACCTAGTCCTGTATGGATTGTAGCAGGAAGCTGCAATTATGGGTCCCTGCAGCACCATGCAAAAACTTCCTGCAGTTTCATAACCAGGAAAGCATGGACCAGCTTTCCTCCACCTCTGGGGTGGCTCTAGCAGATCAACTTTCTTTCATCTGCTAGAGGCCAGGTAATCCTTCTAACCACCACAAGAATACACAAATAACAAAACTAACATCCTCAAAAAATATCTCCTTCAAACTGCACTCCCTTGGGGTCTTCTCAGCTAGCTGAGGCAAGCATTAGATGAAAAAAAAATCTTCGTTTCTTCAGGGTTTTTCACACAAAAAGGTGACCCTTTTGTACTTGACACCCTTATAGGAAACTCTGTCTGCACAGGACACTGAAGTATGGCCATCTGAACTTTTAAGGTGGCAGAAGTGATGTGCCTGCTGCCCTTCCTCTGCAAAAATAAATAAGTAAATAAATAAATAAAGACCTTTAAATATATATAAATGGTTGTCCTCAGGTAGAATCTTTCTAGCAACTAGTTGTAAGCAGAAAACTTTCTGCTAAAAGATCTTCAAATAGTGGGGAAGGGGGAAAGTTCCATAGTTGATAAGTGAAGAAGAATTTCACTGACTAGAAAACAAGGTACTCAAAACTTTACAGGCTTCAATTACAGGAACAATCTAAATTTTATTTTCCTGTAGCTTCAATATACATGACATCTAAATATGACTTGAAATCAACTTCTAACTTATCCAGAGTGTGGGTATTTTTTTTCTTTCTGTCAAAAGCCCATGGGATTGATGTCCTAAAATAAACTTAACAAGCTGTCATGTTTTTAACCAATTATAAAGACCTTTCTTGTGTGTACCATCCAATAGAAACCCAAATGCCAAACTGCAACACTCAGCCAGGTGCTTTCTCTTGCAAACAACTTTGTCTGTTCCAGATGAGGTTTATATACTGAATGTATTGAGAAAAATAGTTGTATTCTATACTTTGAACTCTACAGTGTATCAGAGTAGCAGTACTGAACATGAGCACCTGCAAAGGAGAAATATCAGTGTACCGCTGTATTTTGGATTGATGGTATTTGCAGAAGAGCCTGAGAACATCTGCTTCCCTCTGTCCTGTTCATCTCAGGAAAAAATGGTTAAATCTTGAGAATTACTGCTGTACCCCAAAATGGCTTATGGTCTAGTTTCAACTTACAGTGTGGTATTATTTGAATAACAAATATTGTCTCTTGTTGATGATAAATGTGATCAGTTGTCAAGGTGCTCCAGGGGATGTGACTTTAACATATAGTCCCTGTCTGAAGTTAGAGGGTCAGTACGTCTTTACAAATTTTGTCTATATATATTTATTTCTCCATTTCCAGTTAGTCATTGATTTTTATAATGGCAGTGCAGTGGGAGTAACTGTCAGTCATTACCAAGTGCTTCTTGTTAGCTTGGAGCCCAATCAATTATAAAAAGGGAGAAGGGAAAAAAAAAAAAAAAAGGCAAAATTAGAATCCTCTTTTTTTTTTTTTCCTTCCTCAAATGATTCATTGATTGTCCATCTAACTTATTTTGGAGTTAGATGCACCTCCCCAGTCTCTTACAAGCACATGGAAGGGAAGACATCTTACTTCAGATTATGAAAATGACAGCTGCTTCTTGAAACCAAGTACTTTTTTTCCCCTCCCTGTTACATTTTTATCCCCTCAATTTTGCTCTTTTTTTTTTTCTTCTCCCACAAAAAGAAGGTGCAAATACTAATAGGAAAAGTTATCCAACACTTATGGTGATATCTTGAGCTTCAAAATACTTACGTTCAATTTCCTGAATTGCTAACTACTTCCTCTGTAATCTTCAGTGGCAAATTGAGGATAGGATCTAACTCGTGTTTAGATATTCTAGTCTCTGCAGTTATTAAAAGGGTGTCCCCACAGGCAGTGGGGATAGATAAGCATGTCCAGAAAGTAAACCTCTTTGAGATTCACCCTCTGGAGTCCTCAATTCCCCATCTACAAAGAGAGATAAAGCACTTTGCTGTATCAGAAATGTATTCCGAGGATAAATGCATTGAAGAATGTAAGGCATTTGCACTTTGACACTACAGCTGTGTCAGTGTTGGAGACAGACCACATTATGGAGACTTCGCAATAAAATGGTCAGGAAACTTACTGTGTCAGGGTAACTGTGTGATAGGAAATGGAGTTTGCCTTGGCCTGTGCTTCTAGAATTTCTTTAGGCATTTGTGATGATTGAAGATACTTGCTGGACGGACAGTAATTAATTCCTTCAGCTAGAGAAGAACTGAGATCATATTTCTGCTCATCCCTGAGCAGAGCTCTGAAAGGAAGATGGATTCAAGCATCATGCTAAAAAGGAAAGCAAACAGAGGTGCCAGCTGATCTTAAGCACTAATGAGAGTTTACAACAATGAGCAATGAGTAAGCGAGCTGAGTAGAAAGCATGCATTACTGTAGAGCAAACAACAGCTCTTCACTACCACAACAAGCACATCCCAGCATAACAGCCTGACAGCAAAGGGCCCTCTTAGAGGAATCTGGAGGGAATGTGGCCTTTGAGTATTTCCTAAGAAATAAGTGCTCAAAGCTTAGAAGCTTAATCAAAGCAAGTCACATACTAACTCCTACCTCCCACCCCCAATAATGTATTTTATCTCTGGGAATTGAAGAGAAGGGTATTCTGTCTATTTACCAGAGATGGATGTTTTTATACCAAAATTTCCATCAGAAAACCATCACTTTTATGCTGGTGTAGGCTTCTTTGGTGGATTGTGGGTTTTGCTTTGGATTGTTTTCTTGC